GCTATGCCACTGCATCCAAGTTAGCTTCCATTTCCCAGTGAACAATGATATAATTATAGAATTTTGAATATGTGACAGATAAGTACCTGTTCCACATATGTAAAATTTCTCCAAAACTTGATCTGTGGCTGGAGGGGTACGTGACTTCTCTTTCCAAAGAGAAATATTTAGACATGGAGATTTAAATGATATACAGCCAATAGACAAAACAGGACATTTAGAATAATAAAATACCTTGAAAACTCTGATTACAGGCAGTACCATCTAAATTGTTTATAAGTGAGATTATTGTCCAAAAACTATTAAAAGATTTTACTACTTAGAACTTTTGTTAGTAATATTAATTTAACTGAGGACAATTTTGCATGTGAATGAATCTTACCTGAATTGTTTATTTCCATAAACTTTACATTTTCAAAAACATCTAAGTGTCTTTTAAGAGATTCGTGAATAGCAACATAACTAGAAATTTACAAAACAGAATGACAAAGCCTTCGTAAGGGACAAAACTGGATTTAAAATAGAACTGACACTTACGAAACACTCTGTGCAATAGCCCCAGCAAAACTTCCACATAGCAGTTTGGCTGGAACAATAAGTACTACTCCCCCAGTGTTACGGGGACATGGACGGCCACAAGTTGTAGGAAAGTATTCCAAACATAGTACTTTAAGTCTCTCAAAAACGTAAAAAGATAACCCTAATAAAAAAAGGCAAGAATGGATTAACTTATAATCATAAAAGCCATGGCTTTGCATACATGGAAAAACATACACAAATCATTTCAACATATCTACCTTAATAGATAATCTCACTTAGCAAGTTTTACATTAGAGTTGGAAGAAATGTAAATATTTTTAAACAGTTGAGTAATTCAAGGCCAAAAACTGATGTTTAATGAAACATTCCAGAATTCACTTTAGATGATAAATTTTTTGTTAACAAGAGATTTACGAATGTAAACACTTTATTTCCAAATACCGTCTTTTCTTGCTATACTCAAATTCTACACTTTTGTGTGTGTGGCTTATTCCATATTAAGAAATTGAACAATTCCTCAAATCAACTCAGAAATTTAATCAAAATATTTTTGATGTAGTTATTTTTTACACTCTTTCATTGTAAAAAGAGTTAAAACTGCAAAGCTAGATCAAACAACTGGATCATCTTCACTGTGCATTATTGTAAATTGTAATGTTGAAAGATCTTATCTCACATTAGTTAAGATCTCTTATCATGACCACCTGAAAACTGCAATTTCAAACAACAGTATCTTTCACAGCCCCAAAGATTCAATGCAAATTACAATAACTATTATTTAAATACAAATTTACTTTTAATTGTTTGTATAGGATACATTTCTTTGGACACTTTAAACACTTGAATTTCAAAGGCTTCATAAAATATTTTTTGAATAAATTTAAAATCAAAACAATTTCACAACTACTTTCAATTTCCTATTTAAAAATTAAAACACTTAAAAAATATTTCTAAATATTGCAGTGATCAATAGGTTTTAGTTAAATGAAAATTTGAAAAATGAAAGTTCTTTAACACTCTCTCTACAGGTAGGTCAAAGTGAGCATGTCATGGTATACAAACAAAACATAATTAAAGGGTTTTGGCTAAGGAAAGATTAATACATGTTACATCTCAGCTAACTACGTATTATGCTATTTTCTTTTTTATTAGATCAGCTATATTCTAATCTATCAAAACTCAGACTGGAGTGAGACAACTCATTCTAGAGTAAGTTGCCTTATAGTGTTGATTGATGGCAGCTTTGTCAAAAGTATAATGAAAATTATATTTACTCAATATTTTTCCAAGATCAACAGATGAAAATATTTTATTGTTACACAAACTTTAAGTCATTTCACAAATATATTTTGTTATGAAATTCAAATATATTGTATTTATTATAACCTGAAAAAATAATCCTACTTTGATTACACATGTTATTCCAAACATAGTTGCAGTTTATGAGTATTCATGCAGTTAGTTACATGTAACTTATTTGTGATTAAGTTATAAAAAACACAAACCCACTAAACTGAGTTGACATGCATTTTAGTTTTGCTTATATAAAGTAAGTTAAGAAAATTAAGAATGATATACTGAGACCAAGTTTGAATCCTGTTCAGTCTTAGTTTTCACTCCAAAAAAAAAATCCTAGATAAACTTAATGGCAGTTTGAAGAATTACATTAAGATATGTCAACCAAAACAATTAAAATGAAATTTATAAATGTTTGTATCAGGCACATATTTATTGTCGTCAACCATTGATTTGTAATACCTGGAATTTCTATTATAAAATGGTCCTACTTGGCAAAATTGGCAAATAATAGAGCTAGTTCTGGTATCACCATACTTTTAGTTCTCTCAGAACATGAGGGATATCACTGATATCCCTTGATTGTGTTTCTTCTCAAAATGAAAATACTTAACCAAATTGCATGAAACTTAGAAAAAACTTTCAAAATGGTATCTAGGTTTGGCTTCAATAAATTTATAATTTGATTCAGTGTTTCGATCATTTTTAGATTGTGAAATTTAAAAATTTTTTCTGTGAAACACTGTTTTGAAACTTCCATTTTGTATTACCAGTTAGTTTCATCTTGACTAATATTCATTAGCATATTTTTTTCTGATGCTATATTTTACCAATTGCAGTAGCACCACTTTTGGTTATAAGTTAAAATAAAAAAAACACTGACAAGCTAGGTATGATTTTGGAAAATATTCTTAGTTGTGGTTGAGATCAATAATATTTTATTTTATTTGTGTGCACTGTTTAATATGATAAACTTAAAACCAATATTCAATACATAAGGGTTTGAGTCATCAGAATATTCTTCTGTCACTTATTATACTTCACTAATCCTAGCTATTTTCCCTGATGTCTTGTCACAGATAAACATTTCTATCAATTTCATAAAGATATATTTTTTAATGAAAACATTTTGGGGAAAGAAAAGCAAGTTTAAAAAAATTATATTCCTAGATTTATGTTTTATTCCTAAGTATTTCTGAGTTTCCCAATAGATTCCTTTGTTCATCCCTCCAACAGCTCCATCTAGTCACTTTCTCACAAAACCATAAACTTGTTGCTTAATCCGCTTTATTTACTCTATGTTGATTTAAGTAGTTTTTCATATTTAAACACTGTCTACATTACCAACTGTTCAGACCATATGTTGTGACATCATAAGTGAGTGGGAACAAAAGGTTGTAGTTATAAAACCACTAGCATAGATGAAAAATCATGTGAGAAACAAGACACGTATAATTATATACTCAAAAGATAATTTCTCAGCAAATATAAGCCCATACTTTGGGATAAGTCAGAAAAATACTAAAATAAAAAATTGATAAAATACTTTCCCTATAAGCAAGGCTGATTGAAGCTGTTTAGAAATTAAAGTTGAAACATATTTTTAGAATTACACTAAATAAATGTTGCAAAATGGCTTGAATTAAATCTGTTGAAATAGAGCTAAAAAATTATTTTTATTTAAATTTTTAAACTTGATAATGTTGGTGTTCAACTACTCAACACCTGAAAAGTGTTTTCAGTAGTCATGATAGGGTTAATATTTCTTGTACTATCATAGTAAATTTTACATGTTTTTGTCAATAATTATTTTAATTACATTTTTACTACAAGTGTTTGGATAAGTTAACATTTTAAGTACATTAGATTGCACGTCTTTTTGTTTTCTTTCTCTTACATTATGGATATGTAGCTTAAAACTATGAAAGCAAAGAAAACATAGTATGACTAATTCTAGAAAGTTTGCTATGTCTGAGGTATTCTTAAAATCCTGATGTTTTAATTGAGATTGAACGTAAACCCAGTGATAGTGAAATTTCTATTCTTTTTTTTTAAATTTCAACATAACTTTTTTACTTGGGAATACAGCATTTTACACTCAGGTGATTTTTAGTAATACTGTTAGCCATTAAACATCTCAAAGTAGGAATAGACCCTTTAGGTCTAATGCCTCTTGGCTAGAATGTTTTTGTATTATTGTACTGTTATTATATATTTTTTGTATTGTTAGCTTAATATATGGATTTAGGATTAATATAAATCTCCTAAGGTGGCCAAACCACATAATATATTATTAGGTTTACATCCAAAAATATTGTTAATAGTGAGGGCACCCAACTGATGAAATAATGCATTCTAATCTCCTTTATAAATAAGAACATAAGAAAAGTATACTTAATTAGCTATACTCTTTACCAGGTTGATTTTTAGTTTTGCTCTGGGTAGGCAGTTTGCTCTGATTGAAAGTTAATAAAAATTCTTCCTGGGCAAAGATTTTACATAAGATGCATCTTAGAAATAAACCGTAAAAGTATAAAGCTTTAGTGAGGAAACTGGGTTCAAGCTGTAAATGTAACTATTCTTTTAGCAACTGTTTTGACAATAGTCATATGTCAACTACACTTACAGTTTTAAAATATTAATAAACATATAAATGGTTACATTATTCCTCCTCATGCAAAACTGCTTTGAAACATAAATTATAAATATTGAACCAACTTTGTACTGTACAATCTACATTGTAACTGTTCATTGGTTATGCAAGTATAAGGCTTTCACATTATAATACTCTGGTTATAAATATAATGTGTATCATGTTTCTCAGAAAGAAAGAAAAAAAATGACAACTGCTTTGTAAGTATAATCTATCATAATATTATGTCACTAGAAGCACATTTATAAGTATAGAGATAAAATACAAACTCCACATGTCTGTTGCTTTTTAATTCTATCAGTTAAGCCAATATATTTCTTTAAATCGATTACTGAATTTAATAATAATAATGGCATACCTGCATATGGTATCATACCCATGATGGTAGGAGAAAGTCCTTTGTAAAGTGCTCTAATTCCACCTTCCTACATAAATACATATATCTATACACACAAACCATACATACATATATATATATATATATATATATAT